ATGTGACTACTCCGATACGTTATACTCTACACTTAAAGCTATGACAGATTTCATTGTATCGTGTAGGTTTGGTATGCTGTGTTTCATTGTTTTCCATTTCTAGAATTTCCTGATTTCCTCATTGATCCATTCACATTCCATACAGTGTTATTTAATCTCCATCAATATATATGGGTTGGATAGTTTCTCTTACTATTGATTCATGGAGTTATTTCATTATGATCAGATAGACTACAAGGAATTATTTGAAGTTTCCTATATTTGTTAAGACTTTTAGTTTCTCATAATATATGATCTATTTTAGAGAAATCACCATGGGCTGCTGAGAAGAATATGTATTCTGTAATGTTTGTATGTAATATTCTATAGATGACTGTGAAGTCCATTTGATCTATATTATCATTTAATTAAGATGTTTCTCTGTTTATTTTTTCTCTGGATGATTGTTAATTGGTAGGACTAAACTGGGGCCATGTTAGCAGTATGAGCAAATGTACAGGAGATGTGATGATTATATTACATATGAAGAGCACGCAGAATGGGAGTAAAAATGTGATGGTAATTCATTCTGAGCAGTTTCTGAAACACAGTAAGCCAGGATAGGAAAATCAGATTACTCTTATTGTGAAATAAATAGAAGCCAGTTTGGTAGAGATATTAAAACCACAGTGGGTGGAATCTCAGCCAGTTGCCAGGTTCTACAGACTGAGAGGCTCTTGTTGCTAGGCAGTTTAATCTAGAACTTAATCCTATGAGAGACAAAGGAAGGTGGGTACTTATGTTCTCTTTGTATGTAAGGACTTAATCAAATAAAATAAAATAAACCCAACCAAACAAACAAACAAAACTCTGTTCATGAGCTGAGTTTGAGATGAGACGTGAAACAAGCCATCACTAGAAAAGAAGAAACGCGTGGACATTGTCACTTCATCTGCTAGTAAGTCATTCAGGAATTTACCACTGAGGGATAGAAGCATAAATAATTAGTACATGAATAATACCACCACACACACCATAATTATTTTCCAGTATTTCAAACCTTATACAAATAAAAGGATCTATACACTTACTTTTTCCTATTCTATTAAATTTAATTGATTGGGAGTTCTAAACATTTTTTATGTGTGTTACTCATAGTTTGAATCATGCTGAACTAGACAATGTCAGAATAAATGTTAAATAGAAATTAATGTGCAGAGATTGATGAACATGATAAAGTTTAGAAAGAGAACAATATACAAGAAATATTTAAAAGTCATAGTTGAAGTTTCTCTACTACACAGTACTACATTGCTTTAGGAATTACGATGTTTCAGTCACTCAGGAGGTGTGACATGTCACGTCATTGCATAAAATAATGTAGGAAGTACAAAGAAAATCATTGTCAAATGTTCTTTTGAATTTGTTTTCCTTTGAGCTAACTGCAAGTCATGTTAGTAGTAAATTGTGATGGATTTGGATTGGTTAGGTTGATCAACACTGTCACATCAATAATCAAGTTATCATCAGGCAAAAATTTGTATTCCAAAATTATCAAATGAATAATCAAGAAAATATGGAAAACCATATGGTGGTGTCTACTTGCAACCCCAACACCCTCTTGGGAAGCCTGGGGCTGAAGGATCACAAATTCAAAGCCAGACCAGGTGACATAGTAAGAATCTTTCAGAAAAACAAAGACATGGAGAATTAATCAAGATAGGATGTTTTTCACAATTCAGAAATTTTATCCTCAATCATTTCTTTGCCCTTATTCTTGTCTGCTCTGGTCTCTTATCATAATAAGTTGTGAGTGTGTTATGTGTAGGGTATACATTTGTTCACTTGTGAGTGTGGATGTGAATGCACATGTGTGCACATGTATGTGAAGGCCAGGGATAGAGGTCAGTTGTCCTCCTCAATCATTCCTCACCTTATCCTGGAGACAGGGTCTCACACTGAACCTGAAGCTCACCAGTTTAGCTAGACTGGATGGCCAGAAAGTACTCGTGATCTACCTCTCTCTGGCTCTCCAACCCACTGCTGGGATTATAGATACACAGCACGAAACCTGGCTTTTCCATGGGTCCTGGTGATCCAAACTCAGGTCTTCATGCTTGTCCCACAATTACTTTACCTACTCAGCCATCAACTCAGGCCAGTAAGTCTCTTGTGTATTGTACTTGATTACTTTCCCCAAGCCATTAAGGCATTATTGTCATTTAAAGATGAGACTAGTATTCACCCTAAGAAAAATTCCCTGATACCTATATTCAATGGCAAAGCAAAGATTTAGGGAAATATCCAATGTTGTATAAACACGTGTTCAATGAAAAATTCTTAGTTTTACAACTCAGTGTACTGTGGTTGAAATTCAATAATAAAAATAAGATAAAAAATGAAATACAGTGTCAGTTTTCAGCTGAGGTACCTGTGTCTTAGTGAGGATATTTTGAAAATCAGAAAGTTAAGGAACAACGTGGAGCTGGATATGATGGCCCACACTTTTAATCCCAGGTCTCCTGCTGCAGAGGCAAGCAGACCTCTGTGAAGTGGAGGATGGCATGGTCTACATAAAGAGGTCTAGACCAGCTGGAGCTACAGGGAGACCTTGTCTCAAAAAAAAAAAAATGAAAGAAAGAAACCATGTAAGCAAGAAAGTACAAATTATTAATAAAAGCACTGGATTTTATTTGAAATATACACTTATTTAGACTTCAGTCTTCAAATAAGGTATCAAGCTATATTATGTGGATATTCTGTTTTCCAGCCACGCACTGAAAAAATACACCTCTCTGAACAAATATGACAGTAGTACTCATCTACTGGCATAAACACCAGTACTTAGAAATCAATCAGAAAGGAGCCTCAGGTCCACATAGCAAAAACACCAACAGCTTCCCAACCAGGAATGATGGTGTCCCATGCTATATACTTTTGACCACTGTTGCTTTCACAATTTTGGAATTTAATAGGATTGAAGGAAAATAGGGAAAGTAATGATTAACAGTGTAGAAATATATGTTAAGTATTATGAAAATAAAGAAGAAATGTGGGCATGGTTTACTTATTGCTCCTAAATAAGGTGATTCAATAATTCATTGAAAGAACCATTATATTTATTCTAAGTCAATATGTGTAAACCCATATTATCTCACCAAAGTAAAAGATATGGTCATCTTCAATTAACACCTTTTATTTTAAATATTTATTGTAGAAATACACACACATATATTTAGAAAACAATGTAGTGAACCCATGTACCCTTTATCTAGGTTGAGGAAATATAACAATGATGAATAGTGATTGCTTTACATGCTCGTACTTTGACTATACCTCACTAAAATTGATGGACAAATCATATGTACCTTGTAGAGTTATGCACTGGGCCAAATGCTAGGCCATTTTGGCTCACAATCTGTTCTTTCTCTTCCACCTTGGCCTCATGTAATTAAGCTACTCCTATCTCTGCCACTTTTTCCCATTTCATTTAGTCCTGCTGCTCTGATGGATGAATTCAACCAGAAGACAGACCATTAAAAGTCAGCATTGCATACAACCTGGACAAAGAGAGGACACAGGCAGCAGAGCCACCTCTCACCCTCCTTTGCAATCTCATAGGACATGGTAGCTATGGGTGAGACCCTGGCTCACATAAGGATCACTCTCCTGCAGCTCTGGCTGGAGAGGTTGCTCTGTTTTTCAGTGTGGCCCCTGTCTGGGTGTGCTCAACACACCAGCCTCCCAGAAGTAGTGATACCCTTGAGGGTCACTGGAACCAGTAGAAGAATGTGGGCTGCAGGCTGGCTGTCCTATAGCCTGCACTTTGGAGGCCAGAGACACATTGTCCACATGAAGGCCAAGAAGTTTTTGGTATCTAAACATTTGTCTGTGTTCACGTACACAGACCAAGGTGCCCTCCTTGAGGACCAGCCTTTTGTCAGGAGTGACTGCTACTATCTTGGTTTTGTGGAAGGAGACCCAATATCCACAGTTGCCCTTACCACCTGTTTTGGGGGCTTTCAAGGAATACTTCAAGTAAATAACACAGCTTATGAAATCAAGCCCCAAAATGCTTCTTCCACATTTGAACATCTAATTTATAAGATCGACAATGAGGAGACAGAATTATTCCCCATGAGATGTGGATTGACAGAGGAAGAATTAGCACGGCAATTGAAGATTCAAGCGCGCTATAACTTCACCCTCAGGCAGAGCAGCTACGAGGGATGGTGGACCCACAAACGATATCTTGAAGTGGCATTAGTGGTAGACCATCAGAGATATGTTTTTCAGCAATGCAACATTTCACTTGTGTTATCAGAAGTATACCTCATTGTCAATGTAGTAAATGCCATTTATTATACACTAGATCTTGATGTAATCGTACAGGGAGTTGAGATCTGGACTGAAGGAAACCCAGTGACAGTGCATGACATCGATCAACTCCTTACTGATTTTTGTATTTGGAAGAAGATCAACCTTGATCATCGTCTACAACATAATATTGCACATCTTTTTGTAGAACATAATTTTGGTATATCTCTTGGCTTAGCCTATGTTGGAAGTGTCTGCATGCCATCCCTTAACTGTGGAGTTGATCGAATGGTGGGATCAGATTTGTTTACCCTGGGACGCATTATGGCACATGAGTTAGGTCATAATTTGGGTATGTTGCATGATGAAGCTTCATGTACATGTGGAGAGAGCTTATGCTTAATGGCTCCAACAGACAATATAAACATCAGATTTAGTAACTGCAGTTATGGAATGTTTTTGAAAACGTATGATACTACCAATTGTTTGCACAAGATACACAGACCATTAAGCATCCTCAGAGTGACCTTTTGTGGGAATGGTGTGGTTGAAGATGGAGAGGAGTGTGACTGTGGATCTGAAACGATGTGTAGAAATGATCCCTGTTGCATGAAGGGCTGCACTCTGAAATATGGTGCTGCCTGTTCTTTTGGGCTTTGTTGCAAAGATTGCCAGTTCATGCCATCTGGCACAGTGTGTAGAGAAAATAACAGTGAATGTGACCTTCCAGAGTGGTGTGCTGGAACTTCACATGAATGTCCTGAAGATGTCTATGTGCTGGATGGGACCCCTTGCCATGGTGGTGGCTACTGCTATGAAAAGAGATGTAATAACCGTGATCAACAGTGCCAGCAAATTTTTGGCAAGGAAGCCAGGAGTGCAGCTCAGACTTGCTACAGGAAAATCAACACCCAAGGTGACCGTTTTGGCAACTGTGGTATATCCAGTCATACATACATAAGATGTAATGACTCAGATGTCCTGTGTGGGAGAATCCAGTGTGAGAACATCGCAGATATTCCACATTTAAAAGAGCATTCCACTGTGCACTGGCATCAATTCAATGATGTCACTTGCTGGGGTACGGACTACCATTTTGGGATGACCATTCCTGACATTGGTGAAGTAAGAGATCAATCTGTTCTTTCTCTTCCACCTTGGCCTCATGTAATTAAGCTACTCCTATCTCTGCCACTTTTTCCCATTTCATTTAGTCCTGCTGCTCTGATGGATGAATTCAACCAGAAGACAGACCATTAAAAGTCAGCATTGCATACAACCTGGACAAAGAGAGGACACAGGCAGCAGAGCCACCTCTCACCCTCCTTTGCAATCTCATAGGACATGGTAGCTATGGGTGAGACCCTGGCTCACATAAGGATCACTCTCCTGCAGCTCTGGCTGGAGAGGTTGCTCTTTTTTTCAGCGTGGCCCCTGTCTGGGTGTGCTCAACACACCAGCCTCCCAGAAGTAGTGATACCCTTGAGGGTCACTGGAACCAGTAGAAGAATGTGGGCTGCAGGCTGGCTGTCCTATAGCCTGCACTTTGGAGGCCAGAGACACATTGTCCACATGAAGGCCAAGAAGTTTTTGGTATCTAAACATTTGTCTGTGTTCACGTACACAGACCAAGGTGCCCTCCTTGAGGACCAGCCTTTTGTCAGGAGTGACTGCTACTATCTTGGTTTTGTGGAAGGAGACCCAATATCCACAGTTGCCCTTACCACCTGTTTTGGGGGCTTTCAAGGAATACTTCAAGTAAATAACACAGCTTATGAAATCAAGCCCCAAAATGCTTCTTCCACATTTGAACATCTAATTTATAAGATCGACAATGAGGAGACAGAATTATTCCCCATGAGATGTGGATTGACAGAGGAAGAATTAGCACGGCAATTGAAGATTCAAGCGCGCTATAACTTCACCCTCAGGCAGAGCAGCTACGAGGGATGGTGGACCCACAAACGATATCTTGAAGTGGCATTAGTGGTAGACCATCAGAGATATGTTTTTCAGCAATGCAACATTTCACTTGTGTTATCAGAAGTATACCTCATTGTCAATGTAGTAAATGCCATTTATTATACACTAGATCTTGATGTAATCGTACAGGGAGTTGAGATCTGGACTGAAGGAAACCCAGTGACAGTGCATGACATCGATCAACTCCTTACTGATTTTTGTATTTGGAAGAAGATCAACCTTGATCATCGTCTACAACATAATATTGCACATCTTTTTGTAGAACATAATTTTGGTATATCTCTTGGCTTAGCCTATGTTGGAAGTGTCTGCATGCCATCCCTTAACTGTGGAGTTGATCGAATGGTGGGATCAGATTTGTTTACCCTGGGACGCATTATGGCACATGAGTTAGGTCATAATTTGGGTATGTTGCATGATGAAGCTTCATGTACATGTGGAGAGAGCTTATGCTTAATGGCTCCAACAGACAATATAAACATCAGATTTAGTAACTGCAGTTATGGAATGTTTTTGAAAACGTATGATACTACCAATTGTTTGCACAAGATACACAGACCATTAAGCATCCTCAGAGTGACCTTTTGTGGGAATGGTGTGGTTGAAGATGGAGAGGAGTGTGACTGTGGATCTGAAACGATGTGTAGAAATGATCCCTGTTGCATGAAGGGCTGCACTCTGAAATATGGTGCTGCCTGTTCTTTTGGGCTTTGTTGCAAAGATTGCCAGTTCATGCCATCTGGCACAGTGTGTAGAGAAAATAACAGTGAATGTGACCTTCCAGAGTGGTGTACTGGAACTTCACATGAGTGTCCTGAAGATGTCTATGTGCTGGATGGGACCCCTTGCCATGGTGGTGGCTACTGCTATGAAAAGAGATGTAATAACCGTGATCAACAGTGCCAGCAAATTTTTGGCAAGGAAGCCAGGAGTGCAGCTCAGACTTGCTACAGGGAAATCAACACCCAAGGTGACCGTTTTGGCAACTGTGGTATATCCAGTCATACATACATAAGATGTAATGACTCAGATGTCCTGTGTGGGAGAATCCAGTGTGAGAACATCGCAGATATTCCACATTTAAAAGAGCATTCCACTGTGCACTGGCATCAATTCAATGATGTCACTTGCTGGGGTACGGACTACCATTTTGGAATGACCATACCTGATACTAGTATAGTGAAAGATGGAACAAGCTGTGGTCTAGAGCATATGTGTTTGCACAGGAAATGTGTCCCAAAGCCAATATGGGCCAGTAATTGTTCACCGAAAACAACCTGCAATATGAAAGGGGTTTGCACCAATAAACAACACTGCCACTGCAACCCTGGGTGGGATCCACCATACTGCATGACAGGAAGCAATGGAGGGAGTAAGGACAGCACTCCAGAACCTTGGAAGGAAGAGAAGACTGAGAAAAATTATGTGCCATTGATTATCGTAATTCTTTTATGCATTTCTATGTTCTCTGTGTTAATTTGGCTTTGGACATGGTACATAATTTCACCTGTAAAGGAGGAGAGCACTGTTCCCTCTTCACTTGAAGAAGAGTTCAGTGGTAAAAGTTCTATTGTGACAGATTAACAACATTTTATAATTTCAAAAAGTAGTCCCAAATCTTAATGTAATGGCCCATAAGTTCACACATAATCCTGGCAGGTAAAACACTGCATGTGTCATAATTCAGTGACACAAACTCTTAGGGCTACTTAATATTTCAGGATCAAAACACTCAACATCAAATAAAAATATGGTCTTAACACATAAGGAAATTTCATCATTTTAAGCAATTTTAGTACTTTGTGTTTGTCAGTGTTTTGAGTAAAGGCCACGTCACAGCTCATGCACATATGTGTTTTCATTTTGCCTCTCTCAGTTCCAAATCACCTTTCCCTTTTACTCTGTATGTGACACAGGTAGAGGGAGCTTTCGAATGCTGTTTCTCATTTCCAGCCCTCTCTAGTAGAATCTGCCCACAGTGAAGTCAGAGGGACACTGGAGACCTGGAGGACTGTTTGACTGAAATCCCTGTCAGTGTTGCCTCAGGGGCACCTCTTGCTGATGGCAGCAGAAACTTTCAAGCTGTACCTGATAACAGGGTGTGGCCTGGGTCATAGGAGTCTTCACAGAACATGTGTCCCTTTGTCCTACTGGACTAGTACTTGTCCAGTAAAACCTGCGCCATGGGGGGGAGGGGTTCTTTTTCTCTTCAGTGACTTCCTGTCCCAGTGCTGATAGCAATGCTGTCTGGTTTGCAATGTGTGGTTATCTCATCTCAGAGGCATATTATGCTATTTTGTGTCTGAATTCTGAGTGGCATTGAACTTCCTTTGGTACAGTGAAGAACACAAGGAAAGACACATCAGAAGATTTTGAATTTTTCACCATTTGCATTTTATAATCTTTGGGAAATGATTTGCACTTAGGTAGAATTTCTTGAAGTCACCAGCAACTTGACTTTAGTACAATTTTGTTTACAATCTAGGATGCAGGGCTGCAGAAATAGCTCAATCATTAAGTTCCTGCCTCAGAAGCCTAAGGATCTGAGTTCTCTAGAACCCATGTAAAAAGGCCAGTTGTGTTGGGTGATGTTTGTAATTCCAGTCCTGGTGAGGCAGAGATATGGAGATTCCTGTGTTTACTTGGCCCAGTCTAGCCTAATTGGTGAGCCCCAGGTCAATGAGTGACCCTTTATCCAAGGAAGTGAACAACAATTCTGAGGGTAACACCATAGATTGTTTTCTGGCCTCCACATGAAAGCATATACACATGCACCAACTCACTCATACGTACAATGTGCGCACAGATACGCACCTAGATAATAAAAATAGGATCCACAAGGTGTTAATACAATTCTATAGCGTTGTCATCCCCAGAGATATATCACAACTACCAAACAACCTACTTACATATATATACTGTATAGTATATATTACAGCATACAATACATATATTTATGGTTAGAAAATCATGTTTGTTCTGGAAATGAAACAAAAAAATCCTAATTATAAAAATCATAGTTGAGACTGGAGAGATGGCTGCTCTTGCAGAGGATTTAGGTTGTGTTCCCAGCACCACGTGGAGGCTGGTAACTGTCTGTAACTTCAGTTTGATGGGATCTGATACCCTGTCCTGGCCTCCGACATTGCATGTATCGGTACACTTATATCAGGTAAAACACTTATACACATAAAATAATTTTTTGTAAATTAAGAAATTATAGTTAAATGAAGCAGAGAGCTGTATGGGCAGTATCTAGAAGGACTAAAATGTTACACACTTAAATGAATCTGAACTGAGTGTAACAGGCACAGCCTGTCTTTCCTCTAGAGCAACTGCCAGTGTCCCATCTGAATTGAAGATGGGTCTAGCCCAGTCAGGGGTGAGGATAGCTGCTGAGTGACAGGAAAGCCCAGTCCTCCTTGGAGGACACAGTACTAGAGTAATGAGCAAGGCATTATTTATTGCCAAGTAATATTTTTTTTTGAGTTTGAGCCTTTAAGGAAGTAAAGCTTTGGAGTAAAGCTGAAAATTTCTAATTTTCATAGTTTTATAAATCATGTTGTATCTGAACACAGCAGGAAAAGTCATTTGTCTCAAGTACGTACACAGTTTTTTTTTTATTAGGATGCTTACTAGATTTTGAACTTTGTCAAGAAGCTGGAGACTAGACTGAGACCCCTTAGACTGTAGAGGTGAATCCTCATCGTCTTTCAAAACTGGGGGAACATCTTCACTCCAAGTGAAAGTCTACAGGCCCGTATATGAACAGCGCAGTATAAGTGGAGGAGAAATAGTTCAAGATTTACATAATCTTACCTCTCACCTTGTTAATCCATGACAGATTTGCAAAATAAGCTCTCTACTATATCTTTTTTTAAACATTTTATTATTTTATTTCATGTGTATGAGTGTATTACCTGCATGCAGGTAGGTGCACCCGTGTCATGCAATGCCCATGGAGGTCAGAAGAGGGAGTCTGATCTCCTGGAACTGGAGTTACAAAGGGTTGTTAGCTGCCATGTGGATCCTGGGAATCAAATGTGAGTCCTTTGCAAGAACAACCAGTGCTCTTAACCACTGAGCCATCTCTCCAGCCCTCTACAGTATCTTTCTAACAGAGAGAATAGGGTGAAACTCTAGAAATCACTGGGATTTTCAATAGCTGTATTTATATAATTGCCTGAATATAATAAAAGTATTTTTATACTTGTGATTTGAATGTCTTTACCAAATTCATGAAATAGTACTAGTGCCAAATGTAATAGTAGTAGCAGATGGGACCTAGAATAGTTTAGGAAGGACTTTCCTGCGAATCATGGCTCTTCTAGTGGACTTGAGTTGGTTAACATGGGAGCCACTTTGTGGGACAGTATGCCCTTTCTCTCTCATGTGCGCTCTCTTGCACTTCTGTCTGCCTTCACAGAATGAAGAACCAGGAAGGTCCTCTTGAGATATAACCTCCAAAATGGAGTTCCTATATTTTAGAACTGTAAGACAGGATTTTATTCTCCATAAACCATCTAGTAGAAAATAGTAGGACAAAAATTGTCAAGAATTGAGTTATTGACCAGATGTGGTGGCACACACCTTTAATCCCAGCAATGGGAAGGCAGAGGCAGGAGAATTTCTATGAGTTTGAGGCCAGCCTTATCTACATAGCAAGTTATAGGTTATTCAGAGCTACATAGTGAGACCTTGTCTCAAAAGAAAGTGTTGTGTTGCTTCTTTAACAAATATCATGATAGAGGGTATCTTTGGGACTAAGTAATAGGTAGAAGAATTTGATAGTGGAAGAATTTGAGGAGTGGTTATAAAATATCACTTAGATGGATTCTGTTGAGATTTCAGAAGAGGAAACCACAAGGTCTGAAGCTTCTTGGAGATTACTTAAGCACTCATGATCAGAATATTGGCTATAATATGGATGCTGTTGGCAATCCTGATGAGGTCTTTGCTGAGAAAGAGGAACAAGGTAATGGAAAATGGAAGAAATGTCACCCTTGTAATTCAAGAGCAAAGAAATTCACTGTACTGTTCCCATGCCCTATATGTTAAGTAATACAGAACTTCAGAGTGAGAAATTACAATTCCTTCAGAATATTAAGAAATAAGATGTATTTAAGCACTAATGCTTTCAAACTCCATGGCTACTTTTAGCTGTGTTAAGGTAAGATTTTATTTTATTTTATTTTTTTTATAAAAAGAAGCAATTATTTCAAGACAGAACTTACCATAGAAGTGAATCAGGGGTTTGGGAAGATGGCTTGGTCTATAACATGTCTGCGATGTAAGCATGAAAAATCTGAGTTTCAATCCCTAGCACTCACGTAAAAGCCAGGCATAGTGGCATTCATCTGTAACCACAGCCCTGGGAGATATAGACAAGTGGAGACCTGGAGTTAATTGGATAGTCAGCCTAGCTGAACTGATGAGCTCTAAATTCAGTGAGAGGCCATGTGTCAAAAAATAATGTGGGGAACAATTGGGGAATATGGATCAGGCCTCATATTCAACCAGAAATCAGTTGGTTGCCTTCACAATGGTTCTGCCACTATTTAGCAAATAAGCACTTCTTACCTAGCAAGGTGGTATTGTAACAAGCAAGAGTCAATCTAGAAAAGACCATTGCTGACTTTTCTCCCCCATCTACCTAGCAACTTCTGACATAGGTACTATGACAGCTAGTTAAAAGGGATAATGCTTCTAGTTCAGTTTGAGTATGATTTTTCTGTGTTCTACAACCAAGGTGCATGGTGTCTTCAGTACTAAGATCTTCTCTTCCACTTCTGGTGGTCAATCAGGGGCAATCCTGTAACTTGTATAGTTTTGTGGGCCTTTGAGAACTTTCTGGCCAACAACTCTTAGGGAGTTGTTATTTTTTTATAAAAATAGCCCACACATGGCCCTGGGAGTTTTCTTCAATAGCCCATGGCCTCTGGGATCAGCATTATCTATGAATGCACAGCACAGCAAAACCTACCACTTTAATAAGCTAGTTAAAATCATAATTTTAAGAGTTTAAATGGATTTTGTTTTTTTTAATGCAGATAGTCTGTGTCTTTTGATTGGGAATATAGACCACTAATAGTCAGCGTTATTACTGAAAGTGCATCTTATTTCCTATCATTTTTATTGACTTTATAACTTGTGGTGTTCTACTATTCCTCTCTTACCTACATACTCTAGTGTGCTTTATTTTTTTCCTATGATGTCATGGATAAATTTATCTTTTTGTCATTTTTTTTGAGACAGGGTCTCCATATAGACATAGCTGGCCAGGAACTTACTAGGTAGACCAAGCTGACCTTGATCTCATAGAGATCCCCTACCTCTGCCTCTTTAGTGCTGGGATTAAAGATGTGCACTACCATGCCTGACAGACACATTTATCTTAATGATTTTTTGAGTATCTTCTGTAGAGATGGCTTAGTGGTCATGAGTTCCTTAAGCATGTTTCTGTCATGGAGAGTTTTCCGTTTTCCTATTATTACAAATATCTTTGCTGAGTGTAGTAGTCTTTTTTTTCCTTTTAGAGTTTTTTGTTGAATTTTTGCAATATAATTTTATCTATAACCACCTCC